AGATCGATCTTGAAAAATCAGAGACAACTCAAGTTGAGAATACTTGATGGACAGACACTCCAGAACTGTTTCACAAATACGAAGGAACATGCTGACCAAAAGCCAAAAGCAAAACCAATTTGCGAGAACATATGTCCGTGGTTGATCGCTTTACCCCAGCTGCCGCAGCATGCTTCACGAGATACAGTTGATGCGAAAGGATCGGCAACAAGAACTATGAGTCACCAACCTTTCTTCAACTCCAAATCAAGGCCTCCCTACTCTAGGTAAGAGACCTTTTCAAGCCTGGGGACATTTTTCGTAGGGTGCGCCCTCACCCTTCCACGCATCACCATGGCTATGGAAAATTGGGTCTAGGCCCGCTTTCTGTGCCACCAAGGGAATCGGCTTCAACGTGCTCAAAGTCGTCATCTGGACCATCCAACTTTCACGTCACAGAAAGGGCTCCATTTCCCACAGCCAATCCCAAACTTGGCGCGCTTCCTCTGTTGACCTGCGCTGGTCTGTATTGCGTCACAGGACTATTTACCGAGCATGTGCATGGGAATTCCATTTTGGCATCACAGAAAGCTACCACAACCACGTACAGCCGGGTAAAAGCAAATGGCATCATCCCCGACTTCACTCCATCATACCCCGTACATGCCGACAGAAAGGAACATGGAACATGTGCCATCTACTTTCACCCTGGCGTACAATACAATCCATGCTAAAGGATCATCAGATTCCTGTCGCTGCCCTTGTCGATACCCCGACCATGTACTTTACTATCCAGGATCGAATTAAACCACATTACACCCACTTGGACGGACTCCATTCTGAATTCTCTTCTGCACTCGCCCAACGGATTCCGGTTCCCGATCCTTTTTCCGTCTGGGCGGGGGTTTCCCTATCCACGGATTGAGCCGCGCGTCGCCTGGTGCGCAAACGGCGCCCTGGCTGAGGGCCGCGAAGGCGGTGTCTGTGACCGTCACCTCCTCGCGCTCGTTGAGCGAAGCGCCGGGGCTGACGTTGGGACCATGGGAGGTTAGCCTCGACTCCAAGTACCCACTTCTTTGAGGGTATCATGTCGACCCTCTGCTAAAAAATACCCTAGAAAAAGTGGGTATTTGGAGTAGGGGTAGTAGTTGGGTCGCCCGGTGAGTCAGGAGTCACTGGATTTCTCCTTCGAAGTTGGATGTTTACCAACGCGCCCTAAGGAGATCTTACAATCCATTTCATCGCTCGCCCACGTGGTCAAGGACAACAACTGCGAGGGTTTGCGAGGGAAGATTCCAATCTTCAAAAGCCTACAATACATGAAGGGTGAATATACGTGGCTACCCTAAAAAGGACATCGGAAAACAGGTGTCCCCGCTTTAGTGCGAAATTTATGAAGTCCACATCGGTCTTCCAGCAAAGCCGCAACTTGACCTAATCTGGCATCAAGCGGGATGATTGTTCTGATGGACTTTAGCCACCACCACCACCACCGTATAAAATTTGGGGGTCGACCACGTCCTTAACGGTTGACCACAAATAAATTCGAGGACTCCACAAGTGTAACAATGTTGAACACTTCAAGCAGCACCCCGCACACCTTGGCACTATTTTCACGAGATCCAGAGAAGCCGAGTGCGGCACATACCGAGCAACTTCAAGAGCTTGGTGCTGACAAGTGTGCGCTATGGTCGCAAACAGTTAGTATCTATGCTGTAAGTCTTCTGGCCTGTCACGACCTGTCTGTTCCCTCTGAGCTCATCTGATGCCGATGTTGTGTCACGTGCTTGGCTCAAGCACAGTTTGCGGCTATAACCCCCGCCGTTGCGAACAATTTCTATCAGAAGGGTTGAATTGCACACATTGATTGCCAAAGGTTTCTACACTTTCCTCGAATGCATGCATGGAAATCTAAAGGAACATCGTTGGACCATCCAGGCATTCAAGGCCCGCACCCAATCCAGCCAGACCTCAAGCCTTCCTTGTAGGTGGCGTTCCAGATTATCTACCATTGGAAAGCATACTCAGACACTCCAAAGGAACGCCCACATCACCCCCCTCCCCACCTTGTGGACAAGCCTTGTTCATAGATGTTCAACCTGAGTAATTCGTGAGGCATCCCTACCCCACTTAGAATCATAAAACACAGGCTTCCACCTGTCAAGTCCTCATGTACATATCATTCACCTACATGTGCTGTCTGAAATGCCATGTTCCTTCTTCATTCCCCTTGGTCTCCCAGGCCCTTCCATGGCCATCTGGGGGACCAAAACCAATATGCTCAGATTATGTTTCCGATTTGGTCTGCCCTAAAATGCAAAAATCCTTTTACAGACCTCCCACGCTTCCAACCAAACATATGTTTCTCTTTATTTATTAAAACAAAAACAAACAGTGCAAACATAATTTTAGAGTCCTCCCACCCTTCCAACAAATATATATATATATATATATATATATATTATTTAAAGGAGAAGACCCCAAGCCCTCCCCCCCCCTTCTCGGGCGCCGCGCCGGCACAGCGCGCTTCGGCGCGCTCAGCACGTCCCCGCAGCGGAGGCCGCAGCGGCGCAGCGGCAGGTCCGGGCGCAGGAAGCGGCACCCAAGCGGCGGCAGCAGCTGCACCCTGGCAGTGGCGTCAACCAATTCACCAAACCAGTGTGGTTCACCAAATTCACCAACCGATTCAACCAATTCGCCAAACGAATGCGGTTTTGGTGGTGGGGGGCTTTGGGGCTTTTGGGGAGGGTAGTTGGGTCCTCCAGTAGAGAGATTAGAATATGGGTACCAATTCACCAAACCAGTGTGGTCTTGGGGGTGGGGGGGGAGGGCTTTGGGGGGGGGGTCTTTGGGGTGGGGGGCTCTTGGGGGTGGCTTTTGGGGGGGGGGGTTCTGGGGGCTGGAATCTATGGTTCTCCAGGCTTCGGGGGTACAATGATCATAAGAAGAGTCCCAGGAAGAATCTCAGTTCAGTCCAAGAAGTCCGCCCTGGCAAAAGGGGCCGAACCGTTCGATGATTACAGCAACAGTCTTGCAGTTGTCAGGATGAGTCTGCAGCCCATCTAGATCACACTCCAGACCCAAGAACTTTCCACAGCTTTTGAGCATATCCCAACCGGCTCCGCTCAACAGGACCGGTTCTGCGACCAGTGAGTTTCTGGGTCCCCGAGCACTTTGTGTTTTACTCTGCCGCGCAGCGCCGTGTTGGCACAGCGCAGCAGCGCTAGCACATCCTGCATGCTGCCCCACACACCCCAGCTCTCCGGCTCATGTCATGGGCCTCCAGGGCCTGCCACCTATTAAACCCCTAAGGCCATGTTAAGGGCATATCTTGGCATATGGATCCCCTTGCAGGTCCATGACAGCAAGTAGACATGCCCTTGAGAAAAGAAATCAAGGAGCAAGGAGTACTCAACCCCTGCCTGATTCATTTGCAATGCTGGAGTGACGCCATGGATTCTGGCAACAAGCTCCGCGTTGTTCCAAACTGTAGCAAGCACAACAAACATCTCCCACGTCGATACAGGCCTACTGTATAAGTTTGTGGGGGAAGTAGGAAAGGGTGTTCTCACTTGTATCCTGGAGCAGCGATACTTTGCGTTGGCCGACGCACTGTTGACTTCAACCTGCAGTCAGCAACCTCAAATTCATGTTTCAATTTCCGATGCCTTGAGGCTTGAACTACTGAAATTGAATGCTCATGAACTTCCGTGCCGCCAAGTTTAAAGCACTCGGCCACCGATCAAATACATGTTTAGCCGCTTCCTTGCTGGCAAGGCATTGGCAACATGTCAAGTGGTTGACAGTGGTTGCTTGTTGATGTTTTTTTCTGCTTGGCCCCTCACTTCGATCTTCCGCGGTGATTCACACGCGCCAGAGCACTCTGGCCAAGGCTACCGGAGCAGCGACGACAGTCTTCGGTTGATTTTGTTTGTTGACACTCTGGGACACCTGCAACAAACTGGTGAATGACTTGCAAAGCATTGGCCAATCAGGCAAGCTGGGTACAAAGTTGCTTATCTCTGGATGCCATCCGAATCGGGGTCTGGCCCCAAAACAGAAGGATCGCCTCTAACTCATCAACCAGGGGTTGACCACTTGGGGCCGAAATGTTTGCCGATGCATAGACATGCCGAGTCTGCTTGGCACGCCCACAGTCCTCATGGTCATCGATGGAAATATTCACCACCGCAACACCTGCCAAAACTGCAAGTTGAACTTTGTCACACATACGTGTGCACACAAACATGGATGAAACTGACTGGTACCAATGCATCGCCGAGGAACTTCAAGGAACAACCTCTCAGATCCAAACTCCAGTGGCCATGGGAAAAGGGCGCCTCCAAAGAAAGTTGACAGCAAGTGGGCTCCAAAACAGCTCAGAATGTCATTTGTGCTCTTCTCAGCTACATTCTTACTTATCGATCCAAACTCCAGTGGTCATGAGAAAAGGGCGCCAACCCTCCAAAGAAAGTTGACAGCAAGCGGGCTCCCAAAACTTCCCCCTTGAACATCGCCCCAGGAAAAGCTCATCCAACAGGTCTCCAGGCTTTGGCATCCGCTTGAGACTTCACAGCTTTCAACCAGCAAGGAAATGGGATTGTCCGAAAATTGCGTAGTGGGGACACGTTTTTCCAACCGCGACCTGAGTGTTGTTAGCTTGCAAAGCACAGAGCCCCGAACAAAGGATATCAACAGACTCACTGCTGTGAGAGACAGAACAGCCCTTTTTGATTCCTCGAAGGACTGCAACTCTCCAATGCTCAATGCCAAACGCCCCGAAAAAATATATATAAAGAATAGAAGCAATGTGCTCTACGACAGTTGCAGATTTACTAGAGGAAGGGGATCAACTCGGCTCCTCGGACCCTGGTGCCGCGTCGACAAGGGCGCCTCGCGGGTCTCGTGAAAAAAGGGGATCGATCCCAAAACTGAGCCCCTAGTTCTGAGGACCAATGGGCTATGTCGATAGCAAGTACGTCCCTTGTTGACCAAGATCCCGGTGAACCAGCGCCTGGCACATAGATCTGCAGGTCGATGCTCGAAGTCAGCCCAGGCATTGGAGCCGACACGTGATCCAGGTGCAGAAGGGCCCGTGATCCTTTTGGCTTCCCCTGTAAGCCACCTACAAAAACCTGCACACACGCAAAAAAAAACAACACAGGATATGCTTGCATGTTTGCAGGTCTTCTTCCCGCTCTGCGGGAAGTGCTACAACAAATAGGCGGGCACTCTGAAGCGGCAAGCCTTGGCCAATGTTAAAGTCAGAAGAGCAAGCGGTACTCGGCCATCTTGAATAAAAGCTGCCGAAAGACCATCGCAAGGGTTCCTTGGGTAGTGTCTCGGTTCCCTCCATGGCATTGGTCGCTGATCGCTTGATGCCGCATGTGTGTTTCTGTGTGTGTGTGTGTGAGTGAGTCTGCTTGAAGAGAGCCGAAAGCTGTTGCTGGCAGCCAGCCCACTTCTGATGCCAGGATTTCCGCCAAAAGCATCTGAGACTCTGGGAGCCTACCTTACGCTACCAAGCTAAAGACCCTTCAGAGTGTGATGCCACCCCAGTTGCCCAGTGGTATGCAAGGGTTGATGTGCAACAACGAGTGGTGAGCTTTCTGCATGGCTCCCTTCAGTTTAAGGGTGAGTACTTGCTTTGTAGCACCCCGCAGCTCATCAGGAACCGTCATTGTCACTGCAAGCAGCCCAACCAAAAAATCTGTCCAGCAAGCAATTCACGGAGGTCGATGTTACACTCACTCAAACACAGCCAAAACATGTGCCTGCATCAATACCTAGGGATTGGTCACATTCTATGGGGCGGGGCATAAATGCACAGAGGACAGCATCTCAAACAACTCTTGTAACACATGCAAAGATGGGTGTGAACCACACGTTCTCGGCATACACCAAAACAGTTGTGCCATTCAAACCTGGTGACTGTGCCTTTTCTACTCGCTTCTTTGTTTCTGCTTGGTTACAAGTGCACGCATGATTGAGCATTCGAGTCCTCCGATCATAGAACGGGCAAACATGTGGCCTGCGACGCATCTTGCCAAGCAGCTCAATATTCGAGACCTGACACTGCAGCAACCTCCAGGGCACAAGTCTCACTTCAACCCCAAGGCATAAAGGAAACTAGGAACCACGCACTCTGCGTGTGTGTGTGTGTGTGTGCTGAAGGTGTTGCCATATTCTTGAGCACCGAAAATGGAAATTGGTGGCCTTGGCCGACCTATGTGGGCGCCTGCTGGATCCCAGCAGGCGCAATTAAGGACGGTTCCCGAGGCCGCCGGAAACTGCCCGTCACCAAGGACTGCAGCTCACAGCTGCTTTCTCCTTTTCCCCCCGATTGGCAGCTCTCGGTTTCTCACTCTGCGCTTACAAGGGGGCAGCTTGGGCCAGGCTTGGCCCATCCATAACCTGTGGCAATGTCTTGCACACCGCCAAAATATGATCCCACAGTTTTGTCCCTGAACCAGGGGTGCGTGCTTCGAGACGGGAAGAGAAACGCATATTTGCCAGAGTGTGCATTGGGCGAAATGTTGGGGAATGAGAGAGGTTTTCTGTTGTCTTGACTAACTTCTTAGTGTGCATTGCCGCTTTGATCATTGCTCCGAGAAGAATCTTCCGCACTTCTGGAGAGGCCGGTTGTGCAGACCTGCATTCAACTCAACAGCCAGAACCTGTTGGGTTGTCTTGACTTCTCTATACTGATTCAAGTAACAAAAAGGATCTGCTTGAGGATGGGTAGGACAAATAGCAGGCAATGTTGCTTCATACTCCAGCATCAGTTGCCTTCCGGAGCCAGAGAAATCGTGAACCATGCCGTCTGCTTTCGTTTTAGGGTGCTGAAAGCAGACTTGCTCCCACCAGCACCTTGCAAGCAGGCAAAACTCTCAGTGACTGATGCCTGCAAGGTGCTTTGAACGCTCGTGAAACGCTGTATGGGCCTTAAGTGCATCTGCACTCAGATGGCAGCTTTTGTAGCACTGCTCCTGGCAGGTTGAGCGAGGCCTTTCTCCCGCTTCCCTTTACTTGACTCATAACTACAACACAACAACCCGGAGGCAACATGCCACCGAATTTGTCTGGCACAGTTCAAATGGCACGGCAAGGGACGCATACCCAGTCTTTCCCGTGAGCTTCACTAACATGTAACCTACCTAAAAGCCCCTTTCAAAGGAACGTCTCAAACAAGTCTTGGGCCAGTCAGGTTCCATATACAGGGTATATTCCCAGTGGAATATAATGCTTGCAAGTCCCAGCAGTATATTTCCAGCAGATTCCTATGGTCGTCAAAGGTGTCCCAACAGCGGACCTCGCACTCGCTCTCAGTCTCGCATTCGCCCTGCAGCTGTACCTAACGAGCTCAAGTCGACCCAAGTCTTCGACTCCCGCTTCGGCGAATGGGAACAGGTGGCTTGAACCATGGTTTAGAAGGGGTTGGTCTGATTCTATGATAACAAAACAAAGATGTACAACCCTTTAGCCAACTTTCGCCGCAGAAAGGGTATATCACGGCCATGTTGCAGCCCTGCCTCCACTGCGTGTCCTGCTGTGGCCATCAATATCCATACCCGGGTGTACTATCCATTTACTTCGATGGGCCGTTGTTTGACACTTGTGAGGATCTTGTTGAGAGGCTGTTGGGAAAGGGGGGAACACGTCTGTCAAAGTTGATAGCCTCAAACCTGGCGGAAACTAAGTCGGACCCACCCAAGTGAAGCCTTCTAAGATCCCCAACCAGGAGCCCCACGACATTGAAAGCACCAAGTCACGGGCAGTTGTGATCATCGTTCGCACCAGAGAGTTGTGATACTTTACTCGAAACTCAAGCTCGAACTTTCGTTGCGTTTCGACGACCCAATAATACTACCACCAGAGTTCTGCCAGTGATGCCTTGGAACAAACAGCTCCGTTGCTCCACCCCCGGCGCTGCGGCCTGCTGCACCGCTTTCCGGAGGCGCCTCTCCAAATTCCTCGGTGGGTCGTGAGGTTAGCGCGAGCCGTGAACGAGGGTGTAGACTAAATTATTGCCTTTTTTGCTGGTTCATGGGATACAAAGGTTGAGCCAAAGAAACATGGCGGAACAAGATCCACTTCCCAACCAGCAGAAAGTGGTTTCATCCAACTTTACACTTCAAAAAATAGTATGAATCTCATTCGGGGACCTTGTGGACATCATAATTTGGTGGGGGATTTCATGAATCCACCACTTTGGGGGATTTTTTGTTTAAAGCCCCAAAGTTCGAGGACCCGCAGTCGCCAAGACGCTCCGCCCGCGCGGAGTCCAAAAACTCCGCGGCCTCCGCCGCGGAGCGGCTCCGCCGGCCCTGCTGCAGGAGCTGCAGCCACTCCTCGACTCCGGCCGGCTACCCCAAGGGGTGGGGCAAAAAATGAGGAAACAACGCAAAAATGTCTAGTGCTACCTTCCATGTCCATTCCTTCCATTTCCATTCTAAACCCAGGGATCCGAATCTTTCTAGAAAACCTCCGGAAACCCAGGGAAACGTATCTGGTGTTCGAGAAGAACAATGGTTGGAAAGAATGGAAAAGGAATCAACACGTAGAAAATGGTCCACTTCGAAGGGAAAACAACAGGTGTCAAGAAAAAGGTGGCTTGAACGTGTTTAAAGGGGGTGAATCGCCCAACCTGTCATGCCATGTTGTTTGCTTGTGGAAGTGTCAGCTGATGGCTTCAAGATACCTGGAACCAAACCACTGGAAACGAATTGCAAGTCAGAAAGCACATTCCGTGGGAACTGCAGAAAAGGACCTCTGATGTCTTCATGTTTGGGGGACAGGGTGCCAAAAGGGCATCAAATGCCAAGGAACAAGAGGTGACAGCTAGACCAAATTTCAAAGCACGGTGGAAATACAAATTACCAGCTGGAAAAGGAGGCACCAGACTGCTGCTCTTATGGCTCTTTTGAGCCTGGCCGAGGCGGGCATGAAGAAAGCCAGAAAATCGAAACCCTAGCTCAAATGGCCGATGTGGGTTTTGAGCAGTATCGAAACCTGGTAGTGATTGCTCTGCCCAGAACCACGTAAAGCATTCAAAAGGGCCTATTTACAGTGGGGATTGTCCCTTACTAAACTTCATCTACCCCTCCTCTTTTTATGGGAATTTGGTGAGTAGGCGAGGCGCCCAATCCCAATGTCGATGTCATCCCCTTTGCCACTGTAGATGAGACAACTATGCCTACTTGAAGATATCATACAATGGTTGGTGTCCTTTCGGTTTCCCTTCAAACCAACGAAAAACACATGTTTTATGGTTAGTTTCCTTTTGGTGTCCCTTCAAACCAACGAAAAACATATGTTTTGTGGTTGGTTTCCTTTTGGTTTTCCTTCAAACCAACCAAAAGCGGGGGGTGTCGCCACAAAATTGGCCAAGCCCAACCCTCTCTGCTCCTGGCGTAGTGCCTCCCAGGAGTGGCTGCGGGCGCTCAGCAGGCGGTGCCGCAACTCCACCGCGGAGAAGAAGCTGAGCACCGGGGAGGTGAGGCTGTGACGGTTCGCCACCTACGGAAAACGAAAAACATCTTGGATTTTGGAAGGTGAGTGGGAAAAACTCGGATGTTTTGGGAGGGTGGGTGATTCTGGGTCCTGGGTGGGACACCCACCCAAAAACAAAAGCAGGGGTAGCAACTTAGCCACCTGGCGGTGGTTCGAAAACAAAGACCAAAAACAGTGGTTTGCCCTAGCTTTTGGACGTGGGTGACGGACACACCTTGAAACCAAAAGCTGGGGTAGCACTTAGAAAACCACCCCGCATTTGTTCTTTAGGCAAAGGGGCAATCAATTTCTTTGGGTTTGGAGCAAGGCCGCCCCTTTTCCCGATTTTGTAAAGACGGCACCGGCCAATCAAAACCCTGGGAGTGTGTCCTTCCCTTTTGTTGAGGTTGTGTTACCCGGCCCAAACCGTTCGTGGGGTCTCCCTATGAAACCAGCCCAGCGGCAGCTGGCGGCAACCGGCTTTGTTGCAGGATCGATTTCGGATCCTGTTGAATGACCCACCCAAGCAACCATGGAAGTGCTTGAAACACCTGGCTTCTTGAAAAGGGGGTGCTGCTACAAGAAATCCAACCTGTTGTTCAAAGTGGTCCACACAAAAGCTTGCTAATATTAGAACACAAATCCACAGGCGGTGGTTTTCCGCTTGGTGCCCCTTTAAAACCACCAAACAAGGGTGTCCTCAAAGAAAGACACGTCCAATGGAACCTTGAACAGGGCTCCTCAAAGGCCACGTCTCACCACTTGCTTCACCAGGCCTCCAGTGGCCCGGTTTTAAACTAAATCGAGAGCCGAAAACAAAAACATCAGGCTTGGGATGCTGGGGTAGCTTTTTCACACCCCATTCTACCAGCACCTCGTTCCTCGCCTCCGGCACCCCCGATCGCTCCGAGTCTCCGAGTCTCCGAGTCTCCGGCCCATTCGGAGGCGCGCATCTGCACGAAGACGGAGAGGTTGAGCTTCTCCACGGAGGTGCCGTGGGAGGCCAAGACGCGCCGAAAAATCTCGCAGGCCTCCCAGCGGATGTCTCTAGGCCAACACCTCCCCCGACTGAAAAGTCGGGAAAACTAGCAATGCCCCAAAAGGGAACCCGGCAAAAAACGGAGAAACAACACCTGTGGAAAGCCCCCACTGATGAGACCTTTGCCTTTTTACCTACCCCCCAAACCAAACATGAACACTGCCAAAGGAAAGCGCCTGGAAGAGTTCAATTGTTTGGTGCAGTGGATATTCCTTCCTGGGTAGGGGTTGAAACCATGGCTACAAGAGAACCGCCTTTGAGTACAGCAAGTGTGGCAAGCAGTGGGACCTGAAAGTGCCATTGCCTTGCAGCTGAGAACCAAATTCGCTTCGTCTTGAGGTGATATCAAGTGTACTGTATGCCGTACCGCTGGGGCCGGGGAGGGTGTAGAGGCCAGAGGCCTTCAGCATGACCATCAAACACAGACACAGAATCCGAGCCACAGCTCGGAGGCCCGACAAAACCCAAAGCCCCAAGCGCAAAGCAGAGGCGGAGTTCTGAGAACTGGATTTCAGTAAGCGTTGGACTCACATCCCCTTTTTCAGCCCATCCAAAGCACTGGCCATGACTTGCCAAATGCAAATCCAAATTGTCGGCGCAAAGGTTGTCGTGCGTGTTTTGTGATGTGCAAATAGTCGCAGGAACACTCTCGGAGTGTAGACATAGATCTGCTCCAGAATCAACCAGCACTTTAGGAGCTACTAGTTGGGGCCCTTGGCCCTTGAAAAAAGCCCAACTCGGCCCAACTCGCACGCGCATGGCCGCATCGCTCGCGCGCCTTGTAGGGCGGCGACCAAATCTCCTCCTCGGCTGCCAGCTGATCTCTGAGCTCGGAAAGCACCAGCTGGTGTTCGATCGCCTGCTCAAAGGCCACTTGACGCGTGTAGCTGCGGAGGCACTCGATGTCCATCTGGACCACATACTTCGCGCCTGCCTGCGCGAGTTTTTTTTCCGCGCAGGTTGGTGCTATGTTGCAGGCTACGAATAGACCCTCAGGCGGCACCTCGTCCCAACTCCAAACTGATCTCCAAATGGCGAACTGCGCCTTGTGAGAAGTGAGAACCCCGAAGTTCAGCTTTCAGCTATCTGAAAAACACGGTCGCCCACATGACGTACATATGCAGACAAGCTATTCTACGTGTGACAGCAAGTGTAGCAAAGAAGAACACCGCTATCACTCCGTGAAAGCGGGCCGATCTAAATTAATAATTCTGGAACTCCTTGCACGGAAATGCTCCCAAACTGTCACAGGATGCTTAGGGCTCTATGAAACAGGTTTCGCAAGCTCCATGTTCCACTGCCTTGCTTGTCACAGCACGAAGCCGTATGGAACTCGAACTTCGCTTGGACAAGTGCCTGTCCTGGAGTTCATGGACTTCTCAAACACTCGGTTTAAAGTTGACAATGACGCTCCTATTGGAATCGAATACGCCAAGCCCCAACACATATGTTGCACTTCGACACTTGCTTACTTGGGTCCGTTGCAAATCTGGCAACGTGCTCCTTTGGCCGCAGAACACAAATCATTGGCACTCAAAGAACCAATCTGCAAGCAGAGCTGCCCCAGACAATTAGTCTCCGGATTCTTGTCGAATGTGTCCCTGGTGAGACAAACTGAAGTTGAGCGCCTGTGCTTTCTCCCCTCTAACTCAATCGAAGACGACGGCTGCATGCAAAAGTCCAACTTTCAAGGAAAATGAAGGAAACTTTCAAAAGGGGGCTTAAAAAGGTGAGTTCAGCCAATGGGGGGGAAGCTATCAAAATTAGGGGCGCATGTTGGGTACCTCTTTCAAAAAAGTTGCCCAAAATGGCGGCACCGTCTGAAGAGGACCAGGCCATCTTTTGACCACCCCCAATTCCCTGATTCTTCCGGTGCTGCGGGGGATGATCGGAATCCAAAACAAAGAGCGGAGCCCTTCCCTCAAGTTGGGTGTGCCAAATGGCTGGTGTTCCTTCGGGCTTCCCCTCTTCACCGACCCAATTCCCCACCCCCCCCCCCACAAAAAGCAAACAAACAAACAAACAAACAAACAAACAAGACACACACACACACATTAAAAAAGAAGCCCCCAAGCATTCCCCTCTCCAACACTTCTCCTGCTGCTGGTGAAACGGCTCTTCCTCCATGAAGGCCACGAGTGCCTTCTGCACCGCAGCCGGCAGCGACGAGACCTTGGAGCGCCGCGCGGCGGCGTCCATGGACTGCAGCACGTCCCTCAGCTGCGCCAGGGACTCCTCGCAAGTCGGACGCCCCGGAGGAGTCGGGTTGAGGTTAAGGGTTGGTTTTGAGGTTTTGGGTGCGTTTAAGGGTTGGCTTTGTTGTTTGGGTTGGCTGTGGGTTGGTTTTATTGTTTGGGTTAGCTTTGGGTTGGTTTGTTGTTTGGGTTGGTTTTGGGTGGGTTTAAGGGTTGGTTGGCTTTGGGGTGTGGGGTAGGGTTATGGAGGGTTGGGGGTTCGACTGCTTGCAAAGTGCACTTGCTTCCCTGCAGATTGACATGAAACCCCAAACACTGTGTTTTGCAGAGGAGACTCCGTTTCGGGATATTTTGCGTCCCATGTCAATTTGCAATTCGCACTCAGGCAAAATCCGTTGGTTTAGGGCTAGTGTAGGGTGGACAATTGACTGACCAAACAATTCTTGTGTGACCCGTTCATCAGTTTAATTTAAGGTCCCCCGTAACGACAGGGCAAAATATATACTATTTCTCTGCAAATTGAAGTCGGCCAACCAAAGATGGCTGCAACAAAACGCAAATCCTCCTCCGAAATAACCTCTCTCTCTCTCTCTCTCTGATCCGATCCGAACAAGGCGACCTGAAAAGGGGTAGCAGGATCGGATTGTGTAAACCAGGTTTCCCTCACCCTGATCGCCGGGGCTTTTTGGTTGGTTCCATTCCAGAAAGAGGAACCCCTGCATAAGCTGGCTACGAAGCTCTGAAGCTACATACCAAAGCAAAGCTGATGTGACCAAAGTAGCGGTAACTCCCACGATTCGTGGAGTATAATTCGCACAGCCAAGCTAGCAGGATTAAAATCCTAAGTTGTCACAACACTTCAAACAGGATTCGCCTGTCTAAAGCAGGAACATTCACGAATCAACCTATCACCATGAAAACTCTGCGGTCCTTGGCTCTGCACTGCTTGCTGCTGACCCGTTTCCGCTTGCACTGGCGCTCTACACACTGCGCCGCCAAGTCAGACAGCATCTCAAAGGCCTGAGTCACCTGGCGCAAGCAACAACCAAAAAAGGGCCTCGTTTTCCAACTCCAAGCCTGTTTTGTGACCCCCATTTTCCCGGCGAGCTTCCACAGAGCCGCCCTAATTTTGGGACCGACCTCGACCCACGTTTGGCTTGCAGCGGATACCCAAAGTATGCATCGCTTCTTCCAGTGAATGAGCTGACCCTCATGTATGCACACGTGAGAATCTCAGAAACAAACATCTCTGAGGAACTGCCAAGAGCCGGGCACCGTGCCCCTCAACTCAACAGGTCAGTCATCCTGCAGTTGACTCGTTTGTGACCAGCTCACAAGGCCACAAATCTGGGGCCCAAGCACGAGGAGGCCCTTTGCAAGATCAAAAGCAGCTGAGGTGTGTAGGGGCAAACCAACTCAAAGCCATGCGTGGCTTCCTTCAGAGAACTGAAGAGCATGGCTCCCAGGTCTTCCGCCTCATGGAAGGCTTCCGCGGTGCCGCCCTTGTCTGGGTGGCTCTGCAGCACCGCCTGAAAGCCAAGCAAGGGCCCCTGGTTCGAGGAAACCATGGCTCAGAGTGATTCCCGGCCCGAAAGGCAGCGAAAAAAACTCATGGGGGCTCCCAGGTTTGGTGGTGAACCCACACCAACGGGGTTGAATCCACGGAACCGGGCCGTTCTAACTCTCTTGTCAGCTTGCCTTGGATGCCCCTATCTTCAGGAAAAGGGGTGGGGGCCCAACTCCACTTCTCTAGTTTCCCCACTCAAGCGGATTGAGAACATTCGAGAGGTCAACCCCCTCCCCCTGTTCCATTTCAGGGGTGGGCTCTTGCTGGGCATGTGCAACCCAAGCACCCTCAAAGGATTGCAAGCTAAGCGCGGAAGCCCTCGATGCCTTCCTTCCAACTGCTCACAGAGCCAACCAATGGCCCTGCCAAATTTGTGTTTGTGTCCATGTCAGTTGTTTCATTTCCATGGAACGTGGGCTGTTCAGCCCCCCCCCCCTGGGGCCCGGGCCCCGACAAACGTGCTCGGTGACCCAAACGCGCCGCACGTCAGCTGAGGACCGCGCCCGGCGGTAGGCCGCCCGGAGCCGGGTGCTGTCGAGACCTTCCCCAGGATCAAGGCCCAGTCGGCGGAACCAGCCCAGTTCCTGAGGCGCAACGGCCGCATTCGTCCATCGCTTGTGTGTTGCTCCTTTCTCTTCCCGTCCCATCTTTTCTCCCCCTTCCCTTCCTTCCGTGCGTCTTTCATTTCGCTCTATTTGTGATCTCGATGTATGATGCTCCCTTTCTCGTGATGTTCATCGTTCCTTTGTTTCCTTTGGTTCTTTGGTTCCTTTGGATCCTTTGTTTCCACGCTTTCCATTTGTTCCATCATATCCCTTGGTTCATTTCCTCTCTCTTTTCTCTCGTGTGGTATTGTTCTTTCTTACTGTGTCGTTTGTTTGTTCATATGTCTACGTATATATATATATAGTTGTGCTCTTGCCTTTCTTGGACGACACTTGTCTTTTTGTTGATGTACTTGATGCATCGGCGCTTTTTTGGCATGCTTGCAATGATCTGAGTTTGAAGTTGCTGCCTCTGGAAAGTGCGTTAGCACTTAGGAGGGTACTTTGGTTCTGGCGGAAACAACGGAGATGCCTTTTGTGCCTAGAGCATGCATCCTAAATCGGTTGCTCAGGTGGGTGGTTGGCACTCCCGCTGTAAAGCTTGTGAAGTTGCTGAGGCTCCATGAGTCCAAATCCACAAGAAACGGGTTGAGTGCCAACGTGTCAGATTGAATGCTCAAGGAATAAACAAACGCGTCCGTGCTTCTTGATGTTAGGTAGGATGCAGCTGAGTCGAAAGGTGGCCATTGGAGTATCGGGGTCATTCGATGTGCAACCACCAACATTGCCAAACATTATTTCGGTGAGACAGCATGTCTAACACAGCCGCTGCTACGTGTGACCATTTCATTCTATACCATCGCATCAACTCCCAACGTCCTACTTTTACACGAAGCAGAGGCTGGGTTGAGAGTCGTGGAAGGACAAAAACGAACCAGTATCAGCACGGAGTCAAGCAACCCTTGCCCAAGGACATGCTGAAACTCTGGCTGCTCCGGCAACTCGGAGTCCACATGAGCGGTCAAAATTGCTTGCATGGGAATACTTGTGAGCTGGCTTTTGCAGGGAATTTGGCGAGTTGCCCCATGTCCCTCTCAAATGAACCACAGACAACTATTTTGTTGACCATACCTCACATGCTTCTACGGCTTTGTTTCCAGTTGAGAGTCTCCGCGTCAAAGTTGGCCTTGAGCAAAGGCTTCATGGACTCTTGCCCGCTGGCAACATCGCTCAATTGCGAACCATGTACGTCAGAGTTAATGATACTTGTCCTGGCTGAATATTACCCCCTGCCTTTCTGTGCAGCCAATCACAAGCATACACTTGAAGACGAGAATCCTTGCGAGTCCGAGCGGGCTCGCCCGCTCCCGGGGAATGCGAAGATGTCGCCATGGTTGCTTCTGATCGGCGACATAGCTCCCCGCTGAGGTGAGTGGGCCATGGTGGCCAAGGGTCGGGGGTAAGGACACATCAGAAGCCTGCCATTATGGCAGGCCTCTGAAGAGCTGTTTAGCTCTGAGCCGAAATCTCATTGAACGCCTGGTCTACCGGCCTCACATTCGGCTTTCTTGACAATGTCCAACTGGGGTCGAGCCAATCGAAGGGGTCATGGGATGTTGCAGCAAAGGCGCCTTCCTTGCAGCTTCTAACCAGCGCATTGCTTTGCAACAGTCTCCTGGCAGTTGGTTCCGAGCCTGGATTACATGGACAGCAAAGCCTGATGGGTAGCTGCCGTGTATTCAGCCAGTGGAGGAAAGAAACACAAAACAAATGCCATGCTTCCCAGAAGTTTATACCATGCCTTGCAAGAACTGCACATTAGTGAAACCATCTGATAAGGATTACAACCTCACAATGCAACTCACGATTCCGAAGGCACAAGAACATGCCACCCTTGCCAGGGCTCTCATCATTTGGAGCACTGCTCCGCATCACCGGGTTGCAACACGTGCCTCTCTGTACAGCCAGCTGAATTGATCTACGTCTACAAAGTGGCTGGCCACGCCATCCACTGGACTGGAGACGTGGAGTGCACAATAACCAGTTCTCAAGTGTATGGGCATACATCACCCTGTAAAAAAGAATCCAAGAAATGTGCTGAGCAATGTCGCTTTGGAATATTGCTCCTCTAGAAATGGTCCTTTGTCCGACTCCACGAGCCAAGCTGCGAGTTTTCCAACTGAGTGCCAGTGCCTCTCCAACCGCAAGTCTGAGAGGAAAACAAGACAGGCATTGTCACCTGGTGTCGTAGACGGCTATGTTGCACTTTCATCTTCCTAGTACCAAAAGCCGACCTTGGTGGCTTCAATGATTGCAACTCACCTAACTACCCAGTTGTGTCTGTGTGTGTTTGTGCGGGTGCCAAGTCAGGTTGTGAAAGATGACCGCTGCGCTTTCGGCACAACGTTCGCAAAGTATGAAGCAGGCAGGCGGGCGGTTGGGATGCGATGACATAAGATGAAATGCAATGCGATGGATGTGGAGTCTGCCTTTCCAGCATCGCAATTAGCAAAAGCAGGAAACAGCTCTGGCACCCGTAAATTCAGATCGAAGCCTTTGACTTCATCTAGCTTGCCTCGCCTCCTCACCGGAGACCATAATCCGGAACTCTTCCTTGCCGCAGCAAAAGATGGATCCTGTTCGTCCTCTTTCTCAAGGGATGTTCATCATTGGTTCCATACGCGGCCAGCCGCCAGCCATACACACCGACGCCATACACCGACCAATCTGAAACATAAAGTCGCGGTGATGCTTGCGATGGCCTCATAGCCACCGGTGAATTGTAAATTGCGAGAGGCAACAAGCCCCAAGTAAATTCCAGGGTGCCTGTAAATTTCTCTGTTCGCTGGTTTCGACTAGATGGCCGGGACGATGACTCAATGTGGCAACGTCGCATTTTTGCCAAGACCCCAATCCCGGCGGCTGACCGCATTTGATTTGAAGAAAACAGGGGTTCAGCGGCCCATCCGGGACGAGTGCCAACAAGGAAAGGATTCTCTCACAGGGCCAGGATGCGCCTGATGATGAATGCAGGCGTCACAACAGGAAAAAGCCATTCAATCTGCCTTCGCCCTAGGCAAATCTCTGTACTTGAATCAAGTAAGGGATTCTCCCCCGATCCAGCTCGTTATAACTTGCCCCGTGAATCTTCCATCCCCTGGCCTTCACGCTGGGCTCGCAGCGCGCCAAAGCTGTGAAGCCATCCTGTCAGGATTGGGCTGAGTACTGGGGCTCGGAGCCGCGAGAAGTTCATGTTGCATGAGCAAGAAGGACGCAGTGAGTACCGAGCCTCCAAGCAACCCTGCAAGAGCATCTATCATTTGTGGCCAAGGCCAGCATTAAATGGAGGAAACCTGCATTTCACAGGAGAGGGTGCCACGAAAGAAAAAAAGGGGGAAAAACGCGGCCTGCACACTTTAAGGTGAGTCTGAACCTTAATAGGTCCCGGATCCTTTGGTGGACATCAGAATTTGTGGGGGATTCGTGGAGGTGGTTCCAAGTCTCAAAATTCACAGCCCATACATTTGTCCGAGGTGAAACGGCCCACACCCTGCAATCCCACTCCGCAATCGCCGTGCTGCGTGCTCAGCCCCGTTGCGGCCTCGTCCTTGCACTTGGTCAACGCCCCGTATTGCAGCAGAAGCTTCGCCACCGCGAGGTGCCCCTGCGGACAGGCTCCAAACTCATGAAGTGGATGCCAAAATGGGCGTGTCACACATCGGAGCCAAAACTTTCACTCGCCCTAAGGAACTTGGGCCTTGAGGTTGCAAAGGACCAGCAAGCTCCAAAAGAAAAACAAGTTGAAGCAGTGGGGATTCAGTTCGAAAACAAAGGCTGGGAAGGGTGTCGACTGCTGTGCGCAACAACGGGACAGTGAACTTCGACGATGGCCTAGCCAACACACTCTCTCTATCTCTCTCTACCTCTTCCCCCTTGTGGAGGCGAAAGGGGCAACATGACTGGCAAATTCTCAAGAGTGGACTCACTCATGATCCCTCAGCCTTGAACAAGTCTTGCTGTGCCTCATCTACAGCCAGCATGAGTGGGGTGGACAAATCCGGCAGAACCTTAGTCAAGCGGCAGGGAAACCAACAACACTCCGCCCTCTTCAGGGGTTCTGGCTGCTGATTTCGGACATTCAAAGTGCTAGACAAAAAACCAGCTGAGACAGAGTTGGTAACAAGTGGCCAGTGACATTGGCAAAAGGCGTCCGGCCAGTGCAAATCGGTCAGTCAAAGCCTCATGATTCATGCACCCTGAATTGATTTCCAGGATCAGGTGCCATTTGGGTGTGAATACGGCACCCCCCTGGTGGACATCATTTAGGTGGGAACTCATGTCCACCAACCACTTGTGGTGGTGCCTATTAAAATTCGACAGTTAAACTCAGGACATCTTCTGGGCTATCCTTCACTTTGAACGGGGAACACCCCGTCTGATTCACCGAGCTGATTTGTGCATTGACACGCGTGGCTTGGTCCGGCACTGCGTTGCAATCCCCACTGCTCTCGAGGAGCAATAGCGTGGCCTCGTGCGTGAAGGACTCACACTGCATTGCATTGCAGTCTCTTGCACATCCCACCATGCCGCCTTGTCGTTCATGGATCCTCCCGGTTCTCAAACAACCGAACAACAGGCGCAGGCGACCCAATACTCTTTTCAATTGCCACGAGAAAGATTGGCAATAGATGGATGCACCCTTGACAAGGCATGCTTCTGACATGCCCGGGGAGCCGGCGAAACTGGTCGGTGGAAACTTCCATCATACAAGAACTATAGGTTTGGTGGTTTTGTTCTTCTTCCTTTCATTCTCTTGTCTTTATTTTCTCTTTTAAGCACTCTTTCATGTTTTTTGCCTTTTCTCTTTTACTTTCTCCTGCCTTTCCTTTCTCCCGCAAAAGGCACGCTTGTTTTTTGGCCCCGTTGGCAGTGGACCTTTCTTTCTGAGCACAGAGCACTCAAAAGCAAGCGCCTTGGAGGGCTCACGACCCAGGGCAAAACACCATGCAACAACGCAGGCGGCCTGAAACGGCACACGCGTAGACACTCGGCCTGCAACGCACGGCGCCCATGGCAATCTCAGGACGCCCAGCGTGGCAAGTTCAGGGTTTGTTTTGTCTTAGCCACTTAGGCAGAGTCACGGCGAGCAAGTCATTCGTGGCTGAGGAAGATGGCCCGAGCGGAGGCAGCTGCAGCTAAGCCAACAAGCGCTCGACCCTCGTCGTCAGAAAGAAGAGTGCCAGGGTGTTGGTGCGCCATAGACGCTGACACCCCAAAGCAAAGGAGCGAGGCGTGACGCAGCGCAGCGCCCGCCGCGACACACGACGATGGAAGCAGCTGGCCCGCACGGCACTCCAAGGCGGCCTCACGTGAACATGCTCAGACTTAAGTCGCGCGAAGATCTAGCTGTTTTTGGCGAGGATGACAGAAACCTCCTTCTCGCAAGGCTAACATTGGTGAAGGGATATAAGCTGCACGCACGCAACGCCAATGAGTGCATTGCAACGAGTCTGAAACCCCCAACAGAGCAGGTGCCTCAGCGATGCTCTACGTATCGATCTGTTTATATCTCTTTCTATCTGTCGGTCTATTCTGTCTTTCCAATCTATATTTCTATCCATCTATCCAGCGATCTAGCAGTCATTCCATCTATCTCGCGATCTATCTATCGGTCTACCGTCAGTCTACATAACACCTATCTTCTGAAAGAAGCACGCCTGCCGGGAAATCCGTTCTGTTTATCTGTCTACCGATCTATACATCTACTTGACTGTCTTTATGTCTACAATCTCTCTGACTATCAATCCACCCATCAACCAGTCTATCTGTTCATCTACTTATCTCTCTACCAATCATTCTCATCTAACTTTTGCCACCTATGTACCTCTCTACCTAACCTGGCCGAATCCAATCTATTCTCGTCGATCCATCGTCTTTTTCTTCTATTTATTTTTTGACCTGTCTCGTCTCACTTGTTCAACCGATATACCCAGTCTTCCAAAGCGCTACACCTGCCAGAAATTCCTCATCTATCTGTCTGTAGTCTTGTCTATCTTCTTTCGTTCGTCTAGGCTCTCTATTTGTCTGTCTGTCTATTTTTCTACGTATCATTCTATTTTGACTTGCTATTCTAATCTCGCTTTCTACTTATATATAATTACACCTACCTAATTGATGCAATCTAAACTGCGAAAGCCCTGCGCTTGCCACCAAATCCGTACCTGAGCTTGTGAAGTGCTGCGCCTGCCACGGAATCTGTACGTAACCCTGCAAAAGTGCTGCACCTGGCCTTGCTGCACTCCGCGGTTGAGCCCCCTCATGAAGACTCGTCCGACTGTTTACCATCCACCGACCCGAACCACACACCTTGCAACGTGCCCTGCCTCAGCTGAACCGGCGAAAGCACCTCAGCTGAACCAGCTGCAATGTGATTCGGCTTGCTGCCCAAACCATATCTCCTGAGCTCTAGTGCACCTAACGCAGCAGTCCCTGCTTTGTCGCACTCTGCAGAAGTCCAGCTGCGTGCCAG